TCAGAAATGTATAGCGTTGATATCAGCAAGCATTACGTTATCGAATGATTACTGATTGTCCAAAAAGAGCTCTGTCCGGCGAGGTGTAAAGCAATAATCTTTTCTTTCTCCTACAGCACTATCAAAAGAGCTTTCCAAAACGCAAACACATTTTTGAGTTCTTCGAAACTTGCGCTATCGAATGAGTACTAGCGTCCTCAGTAAGGAATTTAATCCAGCGAAGTATAAACGGGATAAGAGAAAAAACACGTAAGTTTGTGAAACATAATCTTATTATGGATTCTGTGAGAACTCTTTGCTTTAGCGCTTTTTTCGAGCACTCCGGAATAAGCGAAACGCGAATCTGACTTTTGCCCGGGGCCGAAGTTACGCATATCACCCAGAACTCTTTTATTAATAAAACGCCATTGTTAACATTTTATATCAGCGAAAAAAAAAAACTGATCTGATAACTCACCTCAACCTTGTTGAGCATTATAAAAGCCGAGTAAACTAGAACATATTGATCCTGATCAAAAACCATAGTGAAAGTGGCTAACGCGTCATCAAGAGCACCCTCTATCAAATTAGTGGAACCAACGAGTTTAGTCATTAAGTCACTGAAAAATTGCACAATAGCACATAGGGACTGAGTGCGACGTTACTCGAGTATGCTGAAAGAGAAACCACAAACCTTACACAACTAAAGTGACGATACGTATTTGCAGCTTCTTTCGCTTCAAGGCATAATCGAATAGCTACCGGGAAGTTTCCACTCTTAAAAACACTTAGGACGTCAAAGATTTTCAGAACATTAAGATCAATGATCTCTTTGTTGATTTAGCTAATATCAAGTATCACCAATTGAGGATAGGAATTAAGTCGAACAACATCTCTATGTTTTGGCCTTCTTCAAAGCCGATGATTCAAGTCGTTGTGCATAGTCGCTCGCCCCCTCTGTGATTTTCTCTTCATTGGCGCTCCAGTAGAATCTTCTTCGGTGGAGAATCACTTAAATGAGGAGCCCTATTCGGCTACACCTTCGGGGGTTCTTACAGGATCTTAAGCGAGGTTCCCTCTAAACCGGTGCTCCACCGAAGAAGATTCGACTCCGAACGACAGTGAAAGCGGGAAGGACCACAACGAGAGCGAACAACTGTACATCGATTCGATTCCACCGGCTCCGTGGAAGACGAGGACGACGAGGCGCTAGTTGGGATGAGGTTTCATTTTCAACATAGTTCTACTGACCATTTCAACAAAGACATTATAATTGACTGATATTGTCGAGCTCGAATGTGTCTGTTTCATGAACTCAGATCGATACAACAATTACTAACTACCCTATCAAAAACGGGGAAAACTCAAAAAAAAAACCCATCCAACTCTGATTCCGCGTTTTACGACCGACGAAGGAAAACGAATAAACAGGTACCTCGATACAATCCCTAAGGTGGAACTCTGTCTCATATAGCGTTTTAATGATTCGCAACGTCGAGTGTAGTCTATTCAGTAATCGCTTCTTCTTCTCGTTTGCGAGTATACACAAAGCTGTTCGACTCTCTGACTCGGCGATGCTAAGCGCCCTGTATTGAAAATTAGCTGGAATTTTTTTTTTTGAAATAATCAACACTTTGCTACCACAGAAACAAGGCGCTACCCCGCCCTGTCGCGCGCGCGACGAGCAGTCCATGTCCAAAGTGTTTGATGATGACGGCCATCAGAAAGAAGGTTGCTGGCTCGATCCCTCTCACAACGCCTCGCAGCGATTTATTTCTGTTTTCAAATCAATATGCACCATATCACCGACACACCATATCGTACATCGTAACACCGTAACAAAAGCGATTTATTCATTCAGACTTTTTATCAACAATTTTTTTCACATCAAAAAATAGTAAGCTGCTATTTAGTGGGCGTTTTTTGCTATAATTACTACCTATATAGAAGAACTTTCGATACTGACCGACACCAAAAAGTCTGCTGCAAAGCGTCGTGGCTGGTGATGGAACCATTAACCTTCTATCTGATTGCTACAATCACTAACCACTCGGCACCACGGACTGCTGCCCTAGCGCGCGGCGGTGGGGTGGGACTTGAGCCGTGACCCTGTCGTGGGCTAACTATACCAAAAAACCTTGAATAGATTGGAAATTGAGAGGAAGTTTGTCATAAAGCACATCGTACAAAACAGCTTACTCTCGTATTGTACGGATCCCACGGACCAAATCTCTTATGCTGATATTTATCGAGTCCATATCTTCTATTTGAGTATTATATGATGGTGACTGGAATCATCATAGTAACTTTCCCGAACAAGAAAGCACAACATGTTAATGGTTAAAAACCAACTTTCTCCATGATCAGAGTTGATATCTTCTTAGAAACGACTTGCAATTGTGACCTAAGACGCATACGTTCACTATCGACATCCTCAAGATGCAGATCGAATCCGAAAAGTTTCTGGAAAAAGAATGGTGACTTAACGCCATCTTACACCCATAGTGCTTAACCCTTTCGGGACCATGGACCCACCTCCTCTGCATCTCTAACCCCCTCGGATGGGAACGCATTCAAGGTAACTGTTATATTATTTCAATTGCATTATTGCTGGTACTTTCCTTAATGTAACAAATGGCTTATTTACATATAACATAGGAAAACAACAACAATAATACAATTGAAGCAATACAACAATACATTCAAAGCATTCTCAAGCTGAGGTTTAGAGATTCGGAGAAGGTGGAGCAGACCGTCCAGAGCTGCCACGCTGGGCTTAGAGATGCAGAGGATTTGCGGGTCCAGGGCCTCCAAAGGGTTAAGAAATACGATGTAGAAGATATGGTAGAGTCTGAGCTAAAGAATTTCTTGCAAAGGCACTAATCAAAACATTACCTACCTTTAATTCGTAGCCGGTGGCATCGAAGTCATCTTCAATGAAATAAGACGCATCGATGTTGTTGATAATGTCCTCGTCGCTTTCGATCACAGGCGAACGGGGTGATACCTTGAAGAAAGAGTCCATCTGAATAATATGTAACTCTCGATCAAATTTTCAGCTACGAGAAATGTCTCATAGACTGCCCTCCTATTTGAGGCATGCACAATCTTGATACTATCTTTCCCGAAATCGTAGGCTGTCGTTTCAAAAGACTTTGCTTCTTCCGGAGCCTTATCGCAACCTATGATACCGATGGTAGTCTCACAACTGAAAAACAGCTCCGAAGAAGGCGAAGTCGCCGAAACCATCGATTTTGGGAAGGATATATCACATTCGCATAAGCTTCTAATGAAATAAAGTTCGCATAATATATGCCGAGGTTTAGTTAAAGTCATCTTTCAATCTATTAATGGAATTGTTTATTCTACTAAACAACCGTTGGCGCTTTATGCGGCTAGCTCTTTCACCCTTTGGGGACCGTCATTGATAGCAAGCGGCTTCGCGCTGGTCGCTCGCGCACAGCCGCAGGCAGGCAGCATCTGCACGTCAATCGTATCTACAGATTCTGGCTGACTGCCTTGCCCCCTGACGCGACGCCGCCACTACAGTAGCTGAGTGAGATGCGGCGTCGCGCGGCGTGTTACGTTGGTAGCACGTGGTCCTCAAAGGGTTAAATGTAGCTCCATTGATTATCTTCACTCTGCATAGGTTTTGCACATACCTTTGAAACCCCTGCAATACTCGTCGGATAATCGAGCTCGGAATTTGTCTGCTGCGTGGAAAACATGAAATCGGACATGTCGTCCATCTGAATGTTAGAGATATCACCAAATTGGCTCCTCTGAGTTATATGTTTCTAGATCACAAGAAATTAGTAAAATCAAAACATGAAGTGGATGCTGATGCGTGAATAGCTTTCTTGGTACCTATTCGCTATCTCCACCCTATTTCAGCCTACTGGGAAAGACGCGTTTCTAGTCCTTTAGAGAGATAGTAGCCATTCGATAGCCGGGATTCCGAGAATTTCAATGGTGTAATTTATTTATAAAAAGGGATCCTTATTGCGCTATGACAAAAGTAAAATAAAATTGCATTTCGCCCATAGGCATTTTTTGCTGTCCAAAGTCTTTCTCTACGTTTCAATAACCATAAATCTCGACGATTTTAATGAGGAAGTTGGTTTGTGGAAAGAACTTCTGAATGAGCTGTAGCGGCCAAAAGAAGACTGGGTTTCGCAGTCGGCGCGCATTCGTCGCGCAGCGCAATTTATATGATGCGTGCGATTTCCGTTGTTGAATTTAGGATTTTCTCTCCGCTCAAAAAAATAAATTCAGGATGAAAATTACAGCTGTGATACTTTGAGATATCCTCTACACATTCATATGCTTTTCGTGCACCGCTCTGAGCTATTTTGGTTTAGGCTTATTTGCGAGTTTATTTGGCAACGTGAAATGAAAATTGAAAGCCTGAGCTTACAGAACGATAGGACAAAGCTTTTGCACACTTACCTTCGAAATCGTATAAATTTGTGCTGCCAAATAAACGCTATTTTTAAGAGGTGCGGTGGCTGGATGTCAATGTGGCAAAATCCCATTCACTTATCAGAGGAAAGGATGAGACCGAGTGCGAAACTCAAATTTCTTTTGGATATTACACCGCACGAAGAAGCTATTTTTCTATGACCGAGTACACCATTGAGATCCTCGAGATTTCCGTCATCGAATGATCACTAAAACCTTAGGGAAATGGAAAAAACCCGTCCTTTCCAAGGGGATGGAAAAGGGTGCGGATAACAGAAAAGTGCCCTTTGTTGAAAGACTTACGGACAGATCTTCTGCGAGAGTATCGCCGAGATTTTTCAGAGTGTTGGTTAACGACGTACGCAACTTCTCCATGTTTAGGCTCTAGGCTACCTTGCCCACACTAGCTGAAAACTACCACAAGGCAGTGAAGTCGTCAGAGCCATTCTCTGTCGCCCATCTCCATAAGCAAATCGAAGTACGATAACTAAAACTCAGTGATTTAACAAATCTAAAAAGTATAAAAGATGTCTGAGATTACTGAGTGGTATAGAAACACTCGACCCCAGCCGGAATTGAACCCGCGTCTTATCCATACCGGTCGCGTGTGCTACCACTACACCACAGAAGCCACCACGCTGCCACCAGTTTTTTTCAATATGAAGTATCTAAGCTGTCAGCAACCAGCCTTCAACGGGTCTGGTCGGGCAATCGTATATCGATAGATCGTATCGGAGGAGTGGCAGCAAAGTGGTGGTCTCTGTGGTTCATTTGCAAGAGCCCCGCTATGGGGTGAAACGCGGGTTCAACTCCTGCTTGATGCCAAATGTTTTGCACCTTACTCAACTTTCTATGATGAGTGATTAGAACATGCTAACACTGCTAAAAGAGAATAAGAAAAAATTCTCATAGAACAAGGCTAAGTCGAATGCGTGCAGATTGTCGTAATTGAGAGTTGCGGACAAGGCCCATATTTTACGACAATAGTGACGCATGTGGCGCACTGGTTGAGGTGCTCGGCGTCACACACAAGGTCGATGGTCCAATCTGCGCTTATGGTTTACCAAGCCTTCCATCCCTTTGAGGTCCCTAGATTGCTGCCAGACTTTTCTGGAAGGATAAGCAGCACTGACGCGATACAGAAGGAGGTCACCGCGAGTCAATGTAAATCGCAGATATGCATTCAATCGCCTAAAATGAAGTTAAAGATTAAGGATGAATGCATGGCGCTTCCTTCGGGGATTGACCAACGCCGAGAGCTTCAACCTTTATCCTGCTGCCATTGCGTAGATGGAGGCAAAAGCTCATATGAAAAGGCCTAAGTAAGCTGGCTCGAATCTGACTAGGATAAATACAGCACAGCTCTCTAAGGAAGTGGATGCTTGTGGACAACCTTTACAAATATCTGAGACTCTGGATAAGCCGAAGAGAATTGAGTGGTGAGCAAAAATACTAGTTCACTCGGGAGTCGAACCCGCGTTTCATCCATCCGCCTGAAGTCGTATCTTTGTTCACCACTCAGTTGTCTTCGGTTTTATACGAAAAATCGTAACACTGCGGAAAAAAAACCTGTAAACACTATATTTCACTCTGGACAAAGCGAGGTCCCAATAGAAAATTTTAGCCTCACAACCGCATTAATCCGACTCTGTGAAACCTGACGGATCTCTCAAGTCGGAGAAGAGAAAACCGTCACGAATCGGCGAAATGAAGCATCATCCGGCATTCCGACAAATACTGCAAGAAAAACGACAGCAATCCCAGCAGCGCAGTGATCAGCACGCACCCCGGAAAGGGTTAGACACAGGTTCAACTCCCGCCTGAGGTTTCATCCTTTCAATGCTACTTAGCAGTCTTGGCATAAATCTATAAGGTAACAGTGTTGCTACCAGAAGCGGTTAAATGGGAAAAGAACATTTGAAGCTGGCGACACTACTAAGAATGCCAGCAGGATCGCCGACTACGGAAATTTTGAATGCAGTGGGATTGGAAACAGTGAGCAACTATTTATACGTAAGCAGACGAGAATAAGAACAACTCGTTTTCGGGCATCTTGTGGTTTTAAGGGGACAAATGGAAAGCTGACCTGCTTTGCTGAAGAGGAAATTTTCATAGAATTGTTAGGAACCGTTCGAAAGCCGAGATTTCTAGCTGCCGCCCCACATCGTCGCTTTCAAAAAAGCCTTTTTTTGGCCTTGTTGCGGAAAAAAATTCCTTGCGAAGCAGACGCGCGTATTTCTAGTCGGGTACAGAGCTCTTTCTTTGGACCATCAGTAATCATTCGATAGAGTAATCGTTGTTGATTCCATCAACTTACTTTATCTACTGCATTGCAGAGAAAAGATCTTTCCAGGATATAAGCACAGCGTTGAAATCAGCAACGATTATGCTATCGAATGATTACTGATGGTCCAACGAAAGAGCTCTATTCAGCGAAAATGCGTACGTCTGCTATGCAAGAATTTCATTCTGCAGCAAGACCAAAGAAGGATTTCTCGAAAACCGGCAACGTGAAGCTGTAGCCAGGAGTCTCAGCTTTTGAATGGTTGCTAACACTCCTACGAAATGTTTCTCTCCAGCGAACGAGCTCGCTTCTTTATTTGTCACCTTGTAACCACAAAGTCTCTTTTTTGATCCATAAAGTTTTATTCAAATCCACTTTACGGTGTTGTGAAAGTAATTTGTTATGGTTGACTGCCCTTTTCACACTGAATGACATGTTCAGATGATTTAAGGTTTTTGTCCTATTAGTTTAGCCACTCATCTCAGCTGCTTCACCTTTTCACAATGTACTATGCTCGATGCGAAGATGTACACGAACGACGACTAAACGATTTGTCCCAAGACCTCTACTATTTCTAAAACTCGGCATTCTTCAAGAACTCTTTCTTTCCTAGTGAGTTCAACCTGAAGTTCTTACAGTATTGTTTATCAAACTGCTGACTTGAAGAAATCACTAAAAGACTCTCAAAGGACGGCGAATATGTTGAATAAATAATTTTTTGTGCTTGATCCGATCGAATATCTAGGTTCGCTAATTTGTACTAATGGAGTGATGGAGGTGTTTGACTGACTGACTGTGGACAACCTAATCTTTCGAGACTCTGGATAGGGAGTGAACCGCCGAAACGTATTGTGATATATGACTTTTAGTGCTTCCTTAACTTAGATTGTGTTATCTACGTCGTCTGACTAAAATTCTGGAGCTGGGTTGAATGCATTCGATCTCCATGAAGATTTAGCAGTTGCATCTAGAGACAGAGTAAAAATCCCTAAAAAGGCTGCTCCAGAACTATTATTTGGAGAGAAAGGTTTGCACTAGCAAGAACTAACCTCACTGCCGCACATGCAACAGACTTCCATTTACGACGTTAGACGGTGAACTTAATAGGGACGTATAATTTTGAAATGATCGACACAAGCATAAGGGACGAAAATGCTAATCTATAGATATAATATTACGTTCCCAACTAAGGATCACTTTGTTCCTTTCTCATACTCATCTCAATAGTGACTTATGGCAACCTCTTATGCAAGCCCAAAGCCCCCACCTGATTATCCTTCGTTGTGATCCTTGCTCCTTATGCAGACCATGTACACATCTATCTGTTGCTGTGTCACCACTTTGGGTATGAGTCAATAAATGCCCTGGTAGAGTGAAGCTTGGATTGAGCAGGAACATGATTCGATTTCTTGCTACAATCATCTTAACGTCTTCATCCAATCGTGGCCTTCTTTATGAATGAGAGTTGACTGTCTCTGCAATTTGGTGATAGCCGTGCTAGGGCGTTTCCAATCTTCATCACATGCAGCTAGCACCACAAGTGAATTGGATAAAATGACAGATTTCACCTAGATCTTTCAAAAAATTCGTGAATCCGAAGGAATGGAGGTATGGTTTGGCCTGCTGTGGATTTTGACCAACACCTTCAATGTAATACTTGTACCTTTATGTATTATGTTTAAATTTACGAATGTGAAAAAATTTACGATTTTTTTTGCCAATTTTTCGAAATATTAGGCAAGTGAGTGCTATAAGTTGGAGGGCATCATCAAGCACTTATATGTGATTTTTATATTTTCAGACGTATAGGAGCTGAAGAAAGAAAAGAGACAGAATCTTCCTCACTTACAAACACTTTGCTACCTCTCAAAAACTGCCAAGTACTCAACCCTAGTTCATGCGGTAGCATGCCACTTGTTCCTTTTGGCCTGTCAAGTTGGTAGTTTGCAGTGCCGGTTTGAGCACGACGTAGGTGATAAGACCTTCATAAAAGTGCTTTAATGACAACAACGACAAAACAACGATATCGCCATGGGTATACACAATAGATAGGATCTCATGATAAGTTGACATGTGCAACATAAGTAGTTACAGAAACTAGCATAGACGCTTCTATGATACAATAAATTCATGGTGTATTGTGAGAAGAGAGAGCTATTATACAACAACCTTTTAAGCTCGACAATTCAACAGATAATCTCAACATTCGGAAGTCCATTCCACAGAATGAAGAAGAAGTGAGATAATGGGAGCAGTGAATAGATTATTTGATTTGTGAGAACTTCACTAGGTGATATTGTGAACAAGTTGTCTTGCTAAGCAGAAAATGGTTCAATATTCATTGTGACATATTATCATGCCATGCTTGGCGGATAATCATGGAAAAATAAATACAACGAAGAATCTCTCAACATCAAAAAAAAAAACTTCAAGTGGTAATAGCTTAAAAATACAAGAAATGAGTGAGCAATTCCGGCGTAAACATGCCGAGGTTTCAAGAAATCGCTCTTTCGAATTATTGGAAGGACTATAGCAAACCTCCCAAGGGAGTTTGACTATCTATTCGGGAATTACATGATAATTTAGGGAACGCAGATGGTCCATAGCTCTTGAGAGCAAAAAGTATCGCAAAGGCTGGCGGACCTTGGATAGAAAATGGTCCAATTGGCGAGGACTGCACCCAGCTGCCACCAACCTCAACAGGCAGTTCGATCACGGGCTTCAATCGGACGGTCGTTTGACTTCATCCGGACCACCTCACCTCAAATCGTAACCGATCAGCTATTGCTCTCTCCACAGAATCTCGTTGTCGTGTACCTAATTGCTATCAAAAGGTTGTGTTCATATAATTGCAAAATGAACTCAATAGAATTGTGAGCGGAACATATAGCTTCCGTGGCGGGCGAACTCACTTAGGCTATGCTCGCCCCACCACCGCGGTATAGGGATTCTGCCCATACATAATCATTGGTGACCCCACTGCTAACACACTATATATTCACCCACTGGATCCCACTGGCTTGTTATTCCGGGGCAAGCTTAGCAACCAAACGGGCTCGGCCGCTTAGTCTGCTCCGTCAGTTACAATAACATCGTCACTTACAGTAACATCACCACTTACAATAACATCATCACTTACAATAACATCATAACATACAATAACACCACTTACCACAACAGTGTCGCTTACGGTAACATTCATAGTATCGTCGGATGACGATACATCTCATTAATACATCACTCATATTGACTTAGGCATATGTTCGCATAACGATATGTCGTAATCATGTATATATTGTTAATATGCTATCATTATAGTAATGTATGTATATCATAGGTTGCTTGGTA